TAAAATAATGTCAGTTTGCTTCGTACTTAACTAACACCTGAATGGTTTGATTCCTTAAGACATAATTGTATACTGTAGATTATATTCTACTCTAGGAATTGTTCCTGGTACTTTCTTATCTGGTAGAACATTAACAAATATTATTATTCTCTACAATCATTAATTAAAACCAATTATTATTTGGAGTAATTAATTTTCAGCTAGGTCAGCACTGGAAATCTAATTGTTACCTTCAGTCTCTGCTATCTATATCACAGGCTTCAGTTCTTTCTCAAAATGTATTACTTATCTTCTGCTTCATTCCTTTAACTAGGTAGTTGCAAAACAGAATGGTTTAATCGTGATAATCCATCAGGAAATGGAGATTATGAAGATTTTTCAAGTCTTCAGAAAGAATATCCCGGGCAGATCTGCAGTAATCCAGTTGCCTGTGAAGTAGAGACGACATCAGGACTTCCATCGTCAAGCAGTGGAGACAACGTTGCACCGTATAAACTTGTTCTGATAATTTCACACTAGTTCACACCATTCACAAAGAGTGTAAATTGTTTAAGCAACTATAACAGCATCCTTTTGCATGATTCTGTATTAAACAGATGCAGCATTTCGACTGGATTTGTTTGTGTGAACAAGGACCAAGCGGATGGGAGCTGTGAAGATTACAGAATACGGTTTACCTGCCCTGAATCTTTTTGTAAGTATCCCACTTTGGAAACAGCACCTCAACATTAAGTATTGTAATTAAGCTGCTACTGCAAGAAACACAAAGCCAAACCCTTGTCTTCTGGGACTAAAAGAGACTTGTTGGAAATTATAATCAAAACCTTCAGGAACGTGTAAAACTGAATGAAAAATTGTGAATATCAAGCCCAGTATTTAATCTTCAGTCATGTAACTGATTTGTGCAATTTTTACATAACAAAGTAGTGAAAAGTTGGATAGTTTAAATAAAAATGGGGAATGTTGATAAACTCAACAAGTCAGACAGCGAATGTGGAGAGAAAAACCAGAGTTAATGTTTCAGGTTGATGATATTTTTATCAGAAGTAGGCATCATGAACCTGAAAGGTTAGCTCTATTTCATCTCTCCTCCAATGAAATTATAGAGTCATAGAGATCTACAACACAGAAAAAGGCCCTTCAGCCCATTTCATCCATGCTGGTCATAAGCAACCATCTAACTATTCTAATCCCATTTTCCAGCACTTGGCCCACAGCCTTTTATGCCTTAGCATCACAAGTGTACATCTAAATACTTCTTAAATATTATGAGGGTTTCTGCTTTGACCACCCTTACAGGCAGTGACTTCCAGATTCCCACCACCTTTTGGATGAAAGGTTTTAAAAACATAGGACAGGAACAGGCCCTTCGGCCCACCATCTGTGTGCCAACCATGACACTATTCTAAATGAACCCATCTGCCTGCACATGGTCCATATCCCTCAAATCCATGTTTTTATTGAAGAGGCTCTATAAATTGTTGTCATATCTCCTTCTACTACCTCCCCTGGCAGCGTGTTCCACGCACCTACCACCATCTCTGTAAATAAACATTCCTCGCACATCTCCTTTAAACATTCCCCCTCTCACCTTAAACCTATGTCCCTGAGTAACTGACATTTCCACCTTGGGAAAATGACTATCCACCATATCTATGCCTGCCATAATTTTATATACTTCTATCAGATAATCTGTCAGCTTCCACTTCGCCTGTTAGATTTGTATGATCTACAAATTTGTCCCCTTTAGAAACAGTTAATGCTTCAGGGCAATACTATATTAAAGCTATCTGAATGCACTGCGAGGGGTGACAGAAAGAAACAAGATGAAGAGCAACAACTAGAAAGGGTAACGATTTACACCTCATTGAGTCATGACCTTCCTTTCTTCATTGGTTCCATTACCATTCATATTGTCTATTTTATCTTCAGTTTGTTTTTATTTAATCTCCTGATCTCCACCCTATCACAGACTTCTCCCTTGTCATTGCTGTCTCCTCTCCACTTCCACTCGTTTAAAAATGTTTCCATTTCTACTTGGAGTCATAGAGTCATAGAGTTGTACAGCAGAAAACAGACCCTTTGGTCCAACTCGGCCATGCTGACCAGATATCCTAAATTAATCTAGTCCCATTTGCCAGCTTTTGGCCCATATCCCTCTAAACCCTTCCTATTCATATACCCATCCAGATGCCTTTTAAATGTTGTAATTGTATCAGCCTCCACCACTTCCTCCGGCCACTCGTTCCATACATGCACCATCCTCTGCGAGAAAATGTTGCCCCTTATGTCCCTTTTAAATCTTTCCCCTCTCACCTTAAACCTATGACCTCTAGTTTTGGACTCCCACACACCAAGAAAAAGACGTTGGCTATTCACCCTATCTATACCCCTCATGATTTTATAAACCTCTATAAGGTCACCCCTCAGCCTCTGGTGCTCCAGGGAAAATAGCCCCAGCCTATTTATCCTCTCCCTATAGCTCAAACCCTCCAACTCTGGCAACATCCTTATAAATATTTTCTGAACCCATTCAAGTTTCACAGCATTCTTCTTATAGCAGGGAGACCAGAATTCTATACAATATTTCAAAAGTGGCCTAACCAATATCCTGTACAGCTGCGACATGACCTCCCAACTCCTATATGCAATACACTGACCAATAAAGGCAAGCATACCAAGCACCACCTTCACTATCCTATCTAGCTGCGACTCTCCAAGGTCTCTGTTTAGCAACACTCCCCAGGACCTTACCACTAAGTGTCTAAGTCCTGCCCTGATTTGCTTTTCCAAAATGCAGCACCTCACATTTATCTAAATTAAACTCCATCTACCACTTCTTGTCCCATTGGCCCTTCTGATCAAGATCCCATTGTACTCTGAGGTAACCTTCTTCACTGTCCACTACACCTCCAATTTTGGTGTCAACTGCAAACTAAATGAAGGACCTTGTCAAACGCCTTACTGAAATCCATACAGATCACGTCCTCTGCTCGGCCATCATCAATCCTCTTCGTTACTTCTTCAGAAAACTCAGTCAGGTTAGTTGAGACATGATTTCCCACACACAAAGCTGTGTTGACTGTCCCTAATCAGTCCTTGCCTTTCCATATACATGTAAATCCTATCCCTCAGGATTCGGTCCAACAACTTGCCCACCACCGATGTCAGGCTCACCAGTCTATAGTTCCCTGGCTTTTCCTTACCACCCTTCTTAAATAGTGGCACCACATTGGCCAACCTCCAGTCTTCCGGCACCTCACCTGTGGCTATCAATGATACAAGTATCTGAGCAAGGTTCCAGCAATCACTTCCCTATCATTCCACAGAGTTCTAGAGTACACCTGATCAGGTCCCAGGGATTTATCCACCTTTTATGTGTTTTAGGACGTCCAGCGCCGCCTCCTCTGTAAAATGGACATTTTTCAAGATGTCACTATTTATTTCCCCACATTCTCTATCTTCCATATCCTTTCTCCACAGTGAACACTGGTGCAAAATACTCATTTAGTATCGCCCCATCTCCTGCAGTTCCATTCATTGGCGACCTTGCTGATCTTTAACGGAACCTATTCTGTCCCTAGTTACCCTTTTGTCCTTAATGTATTTGTAGAATCACTTTGGATTCTCCTTACCCTATTTGCCAAAGCTATCTCCTGTTCCCTTTCTGCCCTCCTGATTTCCTTCTTAAACATTCTCCTACTGCCTTTATACTCTTCTAGGGATTCACTTGATCTCTGCTGTCTATTATTTCTCTTCAGGTCTGATAAAGGTACATTGATCATAAACGTTAATTTTCTTTCTCCGCACAGATGCATGTTGACCGACTGAGGTTTTCTAGCTCTTTTTGGTCTTCATTCAGATTTCCATCTACAGTATCCTATACGCAATACACTGACCAATAAAGGCAAGCATACCAAACACCACCTTCACTATCCTATCTACCTGCGACTCTCCAAGGTCTCTGTTTAGTAACACTCCCCAGGACCTTACCACTAAGCATCTACAGTACTTCTATTTTGCAAGTCTGCAATGTGTTCCCATGAGCAGTTACATGGATAAAGTATGTGACAAAGGCTGGAGTGAGTTTTTAATCTGAAACTGGGGATTAAATCAAATTATTGGCACATAACCTTTGATAATTGGCACAGTGGCTCAGAGGTTAGCACTGCTGCCTCATAGTGCTGGTGACCCAGGTTCACTTCCAGCCTTGGGTGACTGCCTGTGTGGAGTTTGCATGTTCTCCATGTCTGCATGGGTTTCTTCCCACAGTCCAAAAGTGTGCAAGTTAGGTGGATTGGCCATGGTAAATGCTGGGGAGAGGGTGAGAAGCTTTTCTGAGAGTTTGTATGGGCTGAATGGCCTCTTTCTGCACTGTAGGGATTCTATAATTATTCTGTAAACACTGGTATCACAAAACATTCCAGCACAGAAATAAGCAACGATTTCTGACAATAGATGACTCATTTCTTTCTTTCCAATTAAGCTGTCCCAAAGATGTTGAAATTGCTTACTTGATTTATTTACTCCATAATGTGACCACTTCCAGAAAGTACCTAACAATTTTAATTATTCCCTCATGTGGCTATTAAGATCAAAACTTCAGTTCCATGCCTTAAACATTGGGTTTGCAGGATACATTTTGTTTATGTTCAACCAGGCAACTGCAAAACCCGCTGGTTTGATAGAGATGACCCATCAGGCAATGGCGATTATGAAAATCTCGTTAATCTCCGAAAACAATTTCCTGGTCAGATCTGCAGAAATCCGATTGCCTGTGAAGTGGAAACAACATCAGGAGTTCCAGCTTCAAACACAGGAGACAACATCCCCGAGTAAATAATTATTCCTGTCATCTTATTCTGAGGCATTATCTCAGAAAGTAGAAATTGTTTGACCCTTTGAAACATCATCCAATTCTATATTATCAGGTGCACCGTATCTGATGGCTTTGCTTGTGTTAATCAAGAACAAGAAGATGGGAGCTGTGAAGATTACAGGATACGATTTACCTGTCGTGAATCTTTTTGTAAGTACTGGACTTAAATATTAATCCCCTTAGCATCTAGATTCATTTCGACAGATCAGAGTCCTGCTTTGCAGGATTCATTGTTCCTGCCTAATCCTGATGGATTTTGCTGGGTTGTAGATCATTTGCATGGCAGTATTTTATTGATGAGGGCAACCCTAATGGTACCAAACACTTTTTTCCACCTCTTCATGTCAACCAACACCCACTGACCTCATTTGCATTTCAGTCAGGTGGCCTGTAGGACAATAGTTAAACATTTACTGAATTAGAAGATAGTAACGGTGGAAGAACTGAATGAGTACCTTGTATCTGTCTTCACAGTGGGAGACACCAGTGGTATGCCAGAACTTCAAAAGTGTCAGGGGCGGAGGTGAGTGTAATGGTGAGTGTAAGGAAAAGGTGCTGGCTGGTAGAGTGGTGGAAGCAAATTCCATAGGAGGCTTCAGAAGAGAGCTTGATATATATTTCAAAGTGATGAATTTGGAGGACGAGGAGATAGGGCTCAAGAATGGGACAAGCTGGATAGCTCTTTCGGGAGCAGGTACAGACACAATGGGCTGAATGGCCCCCTTCCATTCTTTAAAAATGTATTATTATATTTATCGGATATTCATTCCTAATTCATTTTAAGGATGTTAGATTTGGATATTTGAGGTTCAGCAGCATGAATTAATCTAGATGGAAGTGAGGAGTTGGTGAGCCAAAAAAATTTGGATGAACTAAACATTGATTTCTACAAATGAGGACTTAGGAATATAAGAAATAGGGACAGGAGTAATTTGGCCCCTCTAATGATGCAATGCTTCACCTCACCACCAACACGCTCCCCACTGGAGTGGAGCTAACCTACAGAACCTGTGGGAAATTATTCAATCTCTGCTGCCTTCAAGCCAAAACCAAAGTCACCCGAACCAGTGTCAATGAGCTGCAGTACACAGGTGATGCTTGTGTATGTGCAGTCTCAGAGGATGTACTCCAGACCCTCATCAACACCTTTATGGATGCATATAAGAGTATGGGCCCCACTCTGAACATCCACAAGATGAAGGTCATCCACCAACCTGGCCTGGCATTGTGGAGCAAACCCCCGATCACCAAGGTCCACAGGGAGGCCTTACAGAACGTTGACCACTTCCAATACCTCAGGAGGATCCTGTCGGCCAAAGCAGCTATTGATGAAGAGATCCAGCACCGCCTTTCAGCATGGTAGCGCAGCTGTTAGCCACCTGAGGAAAAAGATGTTCAAGGACAACAACATTAAATCTGACACCAAGAACATGGTTTACAGAGCTGTGAAGATTCCCTCCCTCCTTTATGACTCTGAGATGTGGACTCTCTACAGCAGACATCTCAAGGTCCTGGAGCAGTAACATCAACACTGCCTGCGCAAAATACTGCGAATCCGCTGGGAAGAAAGACAAACTAACACCAGCGTCCTTGACCAGGCCAACATCGAAGCACTGACTACTGTTGATCAGCTACGGTGGACTGGGCACATTGTCTGACTGTTGACTGTTGAAATGACTGACATGATACTCTTAAGCAGGTACTCTACTCCCAGCTTCAAAATGGGAGGCATGCCCCAGATGGACAGAGGAAGTGCTTCAGTGATACCCTCAAGGCCTCACTGGTGAAGTGCGGCATTCACGCTCAAGACCATCCAAAGTGGAGGAGAAGTATCCAGGAAGGCGCCAAGCATCTTGAGACTTGCCATTGGGAAAAAGCGGAAGCCAGACTAAAACAGTGAAAGGAGCATGCCACCACATCAACACCCCACCCACTCTTTCCCATGACCACCTTCTGCCCCAAGTGTAACAGATCCTGCAATAGCCGTGTTGGTCTCTACAGCCAACTACGGATTCACCCTGAGAGTGGAAGAGAGTCATTCTCATCTGCTAACGACCGCCAATGAATAAATGAATGAATGAACTACCTTTTTTAGGATCCTAGTTTGCAAGCCACCTGCTTTTAGCCCATTAATTTGTCTAGTAAAAGTTTTTTAGTGATGGTGATAGGACTTAATTCCTCCCCCATATGCTTTAGTATTAATGGGATGTTCAGATTATCTTCCACCATAAAGACTGATGTATTCTCCTGTCATTTCCTTGTCGTAACTGTCTCCCCAGATTGATTTTCTAAGGGATCTATGTTCACTTTGACCTCTCTATTCCTTATACACTGAAAAGAAGCACTTATGGTCAGTTTTCATGTTTCTCACTAGTTTGCCCTCCTAGTTTATTTTCTGACTTTATTATCTTTATAGACCTTTGCTGCTGGTTTCTAAATTTGTGCCAGTCTTCAGGGCTATCACTGACTCTTGCTTCCTCTTGCTTTTTATTTAAACTCAATATTCTCCCTAATTTCTTTGCTTAGCCATGATTAGTTTATCCCTCTCTTAGAAACTTTCTTCCTTACTGGGATATAGTTTTGCTGGGAGTTATTAATTGCCTCCATAAATGTCTGCCACTTCTTGCTTACCATCATTAATGCTAATCTATCCACCCACTTCACTTTGATTTGACTTAAATGATTTATCATCTGCACATAGCTCTGACTTTACAAGAGGTCAGTATCATGAAACATTTTCGTGCACCAGTACACCAGCTCAAACTTTTAGTGAGATGAAAGGGGTCTACATCTTAGCTAAAATGGCACCAAAGCCTGATTCTGTAATTTGTGACCTTGTATTTGGCATTTACAATTTTCATTGGAAGTAGGATATACTTTATGCATCCAACTGTTAATGTTGTAGCAACTCAGAAAAAAATGGAGTTTCTAAACCATGGCTCATGGGGTATATGAATTTGAGGATGAGGTTTTAACCTTCTTGGGAGAGGTTAGGGATGTTTCCTTTTGGAGATGCCATTTACCCCTTGGGGATTGTAAGAGCACATTAATGTGTGTAAAAGGTTGATGTTTGTGGAACTATTAAACCATTTAAGGCTGGAGTTGGAAAAGATAAGAACATAAGAACTAGGAGCAGGAGTAGGCCATCTGGCCCCTCGAGCCTGCCCCGCCATTTAATAATATCATGGCTGATCTTTTTGAGACTCAGCTCCACTTACCCGCCCACTCACCATAGCCCATAATTCCTTTACTGTTCAAAAAATTATTTAGCCTTGCCTTAAAAACATTCAGTCAGGTAGCTTCAACCGCTTCACTGGGCAGGGAATTCCACAGATTCACAACCCTTTGGGTGAAGAAGTTCCTCCTGACCTCTGTCCTACATCTGCTTCCCTTTATTTTGAGGCGATGCCCTCTAGTCCTAGTTTCACCTGCTAGCGGAAATAACCTCCCTGCCTCCACTTTATCTATTTCCTTCATAATCTTATATGTTTCTATAAGATCTCCCCTCATTCTTCTGAATTCCAATGGGTATAATCCCGGTCTACTCAGTCTCTCCTCATAATCCAACCCTCTCAACTCTGGAATCAACCGAGTGAATCTCCTCTGCACCCCCTCCAGTGGTAGTATATCTCTTCTCAAGTAAGGAGACCAAAACTGCACACAGTACTCCAGGTGTGGCCTCACCAGGACCCTATACAGCTGCAGTATAGCCTCCTTGTTTTTAAACTCCATCCCTCGAGCTATGGCAGACAAAATTCCATTTGCCTTTTTAATCACCTGCTGCACCTGCAATCCCACCTTCAGTGATTCATGCACAAGGACACCCAAGTCCCTTTGCACAGCAGCGTGCTGCAATTTTTTACCATTTAAAACAAAAGATGTTAGTGCTTGTAATTTTAATTGGTGTTTGTTGACATAATCCTGACTGTTATTAGAGTATTATTGTTGCTTAACTACTGACACAATCTGTCAACATCACAGTGGAGGACTTATAAGTTCACTGTTTGATTGAGAGCTTGAAGTTCCAGTTGCCTTTGAGGAGTTGGGGTTGAGGATTCCTTCTAAAAAAAGAGTTTAAGTAGTTAAAGGGATTTAAATGTACTGAATGAGCTTTTATCTACGACTGCACTTTTTAATATAATCATTTGTATCTATTACTGACTTTATTTTATTTCATCTTGCATGGCTCTTGTCTGTCCATAGCAGACACTGGGTGGGTTGGCGTAGAGGGCTTAAGGGCAAAGCACAGTGGGAACACATCATGGGTTGGTGTGAGTTGCCAAAGAAGGTATAAAGGGCACAGAGATGAGTAGGTGTTGTGGTTATCATGAGTGTTGGAGGGGCCACAAGGCTAGTTAGAAGGCCACAAGTTGACATGGTTAGAAGATCTGCTTTGGTTTACTTTTGGAACTTTCTTCCTGTTACATAAAAAGCTGTTAGGCCTTATAGCCCTCCTTGTACTCAAAGAGTCGTAGAGTCATACAACATGAAAACAGACCCTTCGGTCCAACCAGTCCATGCTGATTATAAACCCAAACTAAACTAGTCCCACCTGCCTGCACTTGACCCATATCCTTCCAAACTCCTGCACTCCCATCCATTCTTCATGCTATTTCCATATCAACTCATACTCCCATCCATTGACATTCCATTACCGTCATATAACATTATGCTTGATCATGTAAATTTATAAACAGATCCAATTCAACAAATAGTAATAATGAGAAAAGAAAACATGCTTTCACAAATTGTCTCTCAGAAAAATATACTGTTGTGACTCTAAACCTTCAAAAGTTTAAATCAGACAGCCATCAAAACCGACGCTTCGAACACCTAAAACCTCGTTCTTATGCAAATCAACGCTGAGACATTGACAAAAAAAGTACAGAAAGAATAATTTATGATGATCACTTAAAGATGCCAATCAAGCAAAGTCAACAATTCAGCTATTTAAGCAAATCACCTGCTGAGAAAGTCATTTTATGAGTCTGGACTTTCAGCTGTGTATGTATAATTAGAATGTCCGGTTCTGCTGAAAGAGTTCTTATATCCTGAGACATGGAAAGGACCTGGGTATTATCCACCATTCCAAAGGTTCCAGAATCCAGACTAAGATTCATGATTCTTCTATGAGGCCATGGACCAGAATT